CATCATACGGAACTCATATGACGGACTACACTGTGAAAACGTGAATAAAGGACAGCTGACAGACGCATTCCAAGTGAGAACCGGAGTCAAGCAAGACTGTTTACTCTCCTCCTTCCTCTTTTTTCTGGTGGTTGATTGGATTATGAAGACCTTCACATCTGTGAAGCACGGTATACAATGGACTGGTTGGATGCAATCTAAAGATTTGGACTTCTCAGTTGGCTTAACCATTCTACCCCAGACCCGCGAACAAATGCAGGTCAAGACAACCACTAAAACAGAAACTTCTGCATCAGTAGGCCTCAGTTTGCCCAATGGGAAAGCAAATACAATACAGTGAACACCAAGCCACTCACACTTGATAGAAAAGCTCTGGATGAGGTGAAAGTTTTGCGTGTCTGAGCAGCATTGCTGAGAAAGTTGAGTGATCTGATGCATGTGTCAAGGCACGGAGTTGTAAAGCAAGGACTGCCTTCCTATGATCGAATAATATATGAAACTCAAAACGACTGTCATCCAATATAAGTCACAATTTCCATTCTGAAAGTCAAGACGGTTATGGTGTACAGAGGTAAAACTTGGAAAACTGCTGCAACCATCACCAAAAAGTTACAAGTATTTATAAACAATTGTCTACACAAGATACTCAATATCCATTGGCCAAACACCATCAGCAGCAGCCGACTGTGAGAGGAAATAATCCAGCTTCCAGCTGAAGACGAAAGTAGAGAAAGCCTTTGGAAGTGGACAGGATATAGATTGTAGAAATCAACAAACTGCTTTGGGAGGCAAACACTAACTCAAAATCATGAATGAAAAAGGAAAGGTTGATAATCAAGTAACACGTCGCGTCAAGGATCGACGAAAGAAACCCACAGAATTAGTAGCCATTAAAAACAGCTGAAAAGAATCGTCCAGGACAGAGTTTGTCACCAAGTTCTGGTCGATGCCCTCTGCTGCACGAGGAATAACAGGCGTACATAAGTAAGTATACTGGTTTTCTGATTTAATAGTCAATTCTCTGAACCTCCCACCGAAAGGAGTGGTGTGCTACCTTTAAATAACGAGTTCAAGAAAAGACTTTGATGCACATATATTCACTAGTAAAAGGCCAACACAGGACTTCGTTACCCTTTCATCAAAATAAAAATTAGTAGGTTTCAAAAAGGGTAGTGATTTTTGTACTTGTTGTGATTATCCTTGCTTTGTGCACTTGTCGCACCATAAAACATTCTTGGTCTACTTTAACTAATAGTACTTTGGTTAAGGATTGAAATTTTTGATAAACTTTGATCTGTGGTACCTTTGTTCTTTACTCATTGACCGACACTCGTGTTCACATTGTGATCATATTGTGTTTTAAACCTTTTTAATCAAATTACAACAGTTGATAAGACTTGTAAATGTGGACAACCAAACTGCTTGTTCTTGGTTGAGGAAGGTATGCAGTGCGATGAATGTAAAAAGTGGTACCATAAGATGTGTACACGTAAGTGCTGCTCTTGGACCCGCTAAACAGCCTATTGTGATTGATGGAAAAGTGAAATCTCCGTTAACAATAACGAGGAGTGAAGCGCCGCTTGATACTGACATTGGAAATCATACACCTCTAGTGGAAATTGAAGACCTGGATGAAACTGATGATAAATGGACCTCATTACGGAAAAAAAGAAATGAGAAGAAAAAAGCTGTGGGCAAACTGCATCTGGTTGGTAAGTTATTGAAAGAGACGGTATCGGAAACAAAAATTCCACTGCCTGTCAAGACGGATCTCTCTGAGAGGTCAGTCATTTTTCATAAGTTAAGAGAACTGAAGACACGACCTCAGTCACATTAAGTCCTTAGTAAGCAAACCACTCCCAGATACATTTTCAGGAGTTAGCATTTGTAAGCTTTATAGAATAGGACAAAAGGTGGATTCTGAAAGCCCTCAGAAAAACCGCCTCTTGAAGGTTACGTTTGCCACGGTTGAAGAAAAGAACCTGATTCTAGGTAACTCAAGTAAACTGATTAAATCCGGAATATATGTCCGTGGGGATCTCAACGTAGTTGATCGTAGTAAGAGACTAGCTGAAGAAGTAGAGATAAATGAGTGTCGCCGAAACTGTGAAAGTAACCTCGTTCTTAAGGGTTTTCAAATTGTAAAAGTTAGGAGCAAAACGATCCCCAAACCACTCTGGGTGATAAGGGAAAGTTCTCCACAGACTTAAATAAAATGCTGTATGACTGCTTGCAGCCTACTAAATAAAATGGTGGAGCCTAATTCAATGGCGGATAAAGAAAAAACCGGATGTTATTGCTGTCTCAGAAACTTGGTTAACGTCAGAAGTATTAGATAATGAAATTCAATTGACTGGTTTTTTATCCAGTAGGGCTGATAGATTAAACCGTAGGGGAGGTGGGGTTATCCTGTACACGAAAAGTACCCTACTCATAAGAGCAGCTGAGACAGTGGCACATGTTTCAGGGACATGCGAACTGGTGCAATGTGGACTGAAATGTAGACGGCAAGATTTTGAATTAGTTGTAGTATATAGCAGTCCAGAATATGTAGTAGATGATTTTCTCCTAATTAAACTGAAGTCCTGGTGTAACAAGGGTAAAAGCCTTGTAGTAAGCTACTTTAATGCACTGCATATAAACTGGGATAACTTAGAAGTAGGGTCATCGATAACGTCGTTCGATTGCAAACTGTTAGAAACCTCGGTTGGATTAGCTTTATTCCAACACATTAGAAATTCCACAAGATATGACTTATGAAACTCTTCTCTTTTAGATTTAGTCTTCACACACGGCGATGACGTTGGTCAAATGACTTTCCTCCCACCACTAGGGAGAAACGACCATGCAATCATTCAAATTCATGGCTGAGATTGCCTGTCATACAGTTGCGCCGGCCCGTACTAACATATGGAAGGCAGATATGGAGGCCACCATCTCCGCAGCATCGGCTGAAAACTGGGAAATTGACTAAAGGGCATCAGCACAAGAGTCATGGATTCATTTCAGGCAGTTATGCAAACGGGTAACTCAACCATACATACCCTGGACAGTCCCAAAGAAGAAGAAGCACGGCCATCCATGAATAGGCAGGGATATTTGACGTTTACTAGGAGAAAGAAGAAATGTTGGAATGTCGCCATCCGCCATGGCACAGCAGGTAGTATGGAACGCTACAGATCAGTAAGAAACAAGTTTATAACAAAAATTCGAGAAGCTCAAAGAAAATATGAAATGCAGTTAGCACAATCAGCACTCAAGCAGCCCAATAGAATATTCTCGTACATAAACTACAGAACAGGGACGCATCATTGGATTCCAAATCCAATTAAAGAAGAAGTGAATCTGAAATGACAGAGGAAGATGAGGAAAAAGCAGAGGCTATGGCTGACTATTTTGGGGCAGTTTTCACTCAGGAACCTCCTCTAGACAAAAGACCAGACCAAAATAAAGGGTCAACAAACCACCTGCTTACCGTGGACTTCGATCAAGACGATGCGCTTAAGGCTCTTAGCACCTTAAACATGGAAAAGTCAACAGGACCAGATGAACTACACCCCAAAATCTTGAGACATATTGTACAATAAATCGCGGCCCCACTGACTATGATATTCAGTATGTCACTTAATCAGGGTGTGTTACCTATGAACTGGAAGGACGCAATCGTCACTCCCACACATAAAACAGGACCAAGACAAGTGTCATCGAACTACAGACCTGTAAGCCTCTCCAGTGTTTTAGTTAAAATATTGAAAAGAATAATCAGACGGACCATAATGGCATTCATGAAAACCAATAACTTGCTAAACATAGAACAACATGGTTTTAGAAAGGGTCTATTTTGTGCAGCGAGCCTCCTTACGGCAAAGGAATTTTGGATAAAGGCGCCAGACAACGGAAACTCAGCGGATATTGTCTACATAGACTTCAGTAAGGCTTGTGACAAGGTGCCAACTAATAGACTGCTATTGAAGTTGGAAAACCTTGGTATTGCTGGACCTCATTTAAAATAGATTAAGGATTTCATAGTAGATCGTAAACAGAAAGTAAGAACGAATTCCAAGTGCTCCATCTGGAGACCAGTACTTAGTGGAGTACCCCAAGGTTCCTTCCTAGGTCCTTTACTCTTTATAATGTATGTTAATGATCATCCAAGTATAGTACAGTCTCCAATATTATTATACGCTGACGATGTAAAGATCTGGCGGGTAATAACTGGAGACACAGACTCAGATGCTCTTCAGGCAGACTTAAATAATGTGATTAACTAGTTTAAGGAGTGGCTGATGCCTATCAACGCGGCAAAGTGTGTCTACATGCACTTTGAAGACTCAAAGGCTAACAGGTACAAAATAGGGAAAGTGCCATTACCCGTGGTCCGATCTCATAAAGATCTGGGAGCGACAATGAGTCATGATCTTAAGACGACGGCCCATTGCCGGAAGGTCGCAGTTAAGGGGTTTCGAACCCTCTGGGCATTAAAACGGACATTCATTAAGTTAGATACTACCATGTTCACCAAAGTATACATATCCTTATTGAGAACTAAGCTTGAGAACTGCGTTCAGGCTGCAAGCTCCTGTTTAAAAGGTGACTCAGATATCCTAGAAAAAGTACAGAGCAGAACTCCGGGGTTTACCACACAAAGAGCGGCTTGAAAAGCTGGACCTCCTATCTCAGACTAAGGGGAGATCTAATTTTAATGTACAGAATACTGAGAAATGATTTTGAACCTGACATATTCTCTCTTGTTCTTCCCACTAGATCGGGACATTTCAGAGGACATAGCAGGCGAGTAAAAAAGCCAATAACGAACAAAATACCCGTGGCATACAGGTTCTCACACCGAGTCATCAATACTTGGAACCTGCTGCCCGAAGCAGTGGTGTCCGCGCCTCCAATTGACTTTTTCAAGAGAAGACTGGACACTCAGAGAAGCATACTAGAAAAGGAATAACATGGACCGTAGGCCTTCTGTCCTTACTATACAAATCTGAATCATAACATTAAGCGCCCTATATATTTGGAACGCTACTTTTAGATGGTGTTCGTAAGTGTTTGGGATTAAGTTATTCTTTTTCTTAGTTTCATCGGATTGATAATTCTTCTCCATTCACCACCTCGTACAGATGCTACCCAGTTTCCTTTTTAGCCGACAATTTTCGTTCTAGCGTGGAGAAAGGAGGAAAAAGTAAGACTTCATATACTGTGTAAGTGTTTTAGTTATCATGCCTCCATCTGCTTTAGATGTACTTAGTAAGTCTCAGGTTTATGAGTGTATAGAACTTTAAGCACGACTGAATGTCCAGTACCCAATGCTATTCAAGTTAACTAACCAACAAGCAAACCGAACTACTCATTGTGGTGTACTGGAATTTGTTGCAGATGAAGGGAGGATTTATGTTCCTTACTGGGTAGACATCTAATATATCAGTTCTATTTCAGATGCTTAAAAATCTACATTTGGAGGAGGGTGGTCTGGTCTCCGTAGTTAATGCAGCCTTACCTGTAGCTTCTTTTGCTCGTTTCCAGCCTCAGAGTACTGATTTTTTGGATATATCTAACCCCAAAGCTGTGTAATTTTATTATCAACTTATAGCTTCATTTAGGCTGGAAAATGCTCTTCGCGACTTTGCTTGCCTCACAGTCGGAGATATCATAGCTATCAACTACAATGAGCGTATATATGAGCTTAAAGTGTTAGAAACAAAACCGAAAGATGCAGTCACTATAATCGAGTGTGACATGAGCGTAATTTTCCCATTCATATATTTGTTCTTTTAGGTTGACTTCGCACCTCCAGTTGGATATCAGCCTACTGATTCTGGTTCTTCGAGCAAACAAAGTGACCAAGATCTACATAAGGTATATCTTTTAATTGTTCAAATATTTTTTTCGTCATTTTTTATTTAAAACCCATTTTACTGGCAGCTCTTCGGAGTTTATTTTTGTTGTCAACCTATATGGTACGAGTCTATTGGTGAGATCCGATTAGTTTTCTGAAGTTCAAGATTATAGCAGACTCATTTGTCAGAAGGAAGAATCTTGAGGGTATTGTGTCATCTCAGCTGGTTTGGTGGTAACGCTCTTGTTTTCTCTTCTGACTAACATCAGCACAAACGTCGAAAAGTGAGCTGTTATGTTTTCTCCACAAGTAACTAACAGCTTGTATTGTTGACATTACATTTGATTGGTTAGCTCTCAAACTTTGTATATTTTGAGGGATTGTTGTTGTTGTTTAGAAGTGAAGATATTGTATTGTTCGTTAAGTTTCGCTCAGATGTTACAATGTTAAAGTATAACATCAATCCGTCATTGATGGAGTCCGGGGCTAAGTCTACTAAATGTGTTGTTTTTAAAATTTTTATTTATAGGTTGTATCTGGGACCTCAGAGAGTAATACCTTAGAGCTTAAGGGAATTTTTAGTTTATATAATGTAGCTATCATAAAAATATGTGTGGACAAGTCCATTGGTTTTCAATCGCCATTAGTCTTCTTTTGATATTTCCTCTCCTTTGACGAGTTTGTTTAAAATTCAGAGGATCCGGCTATTCAGCTTTCAATCCACTCTAGTCCTCCCTGTTTATAACTACCAATTTAGTATTTCTTTTGTCGTCCTGAGCTCTAGTCTTGTTCTTATTTCTTAGATTATTTGCGTTTTATTCTTTTTTGTTTAGAATTTTGAATCCCCCTACGCCTACGCACATGTAAAAATTAAGAAATGAAAGTATCTGATGCTACTATCCTTATCTTTAACGATAGTTATCATATCATAAGAATTAAAATAGCATTGCTTTTCTGTCTATATCAATTACCTTAATGACCATACGTAATTAAGATGCATAAATATCATCGTCGTTTTGTCATCATTTCCGTTTTTGTGACAGCTTAAAAATTGCCAAGAATATTTTCTGACAATATATTTTCTCGTTGTCATTTGTTCACGCTGATTGCTTGTTTCAGATAGAAGAAGATCATATAGAAATCCCTTCAGTTGTTCAAGGATTTCAGGTAACTTGTTCATGTAATTTCTCTCTTATTTAAATATTATGGTGACAAATACTTAAATACTAACTGCAAAGGCTAAGGGACTCTAAGTAGTCTTCAAGATCCTTGATATTTCTATTTTAGAGATTGAGCAGGTGTTTACGTGTTTCGTTTGGTTGAAAAATACTGATTTATTAAGTGTGGAACATCAAATATATCAGTAAATCGGTACAGTTCGGAGTCATCGAATGAGAAGGATAAAAAACAAATAGCTACGCTTATCTAGTAGTGATCCATGCTAATCTATCTTGTATTTACATCCATTGAATCATATATCGAGAGTCACACTAAAGGATCTTAAGTGTCATCATCTCATATTACAACCACTGACTTCATAACTTATCATTAGCTCTTCATCTGACTACCTAGAAATATTTCTCAACCTGATAACTTAGTTAACATCACATTTGTTGATGGCCTGTAACTGCAAATACATAATAGATCTGTACCTCAGGTCGGTACAGATTCCCTATCGTGCTGGCTCATCGGCCCTACTGTCTGCAAAAAACACTTCATTCTCATCGGTTGGCAGATACCTTTATTGTAATATCACTTGTCATCAGTTGCAAATTAGTCTGATAGAATGAAACAAACTACCTCATCATATTTTGAGTTTACAATAGAAGTCTTAATGTTTTGATATGTATCCCCGACTGCCAAACAACGTTTCTTCTGCGACAATACTTCGTCAATTACTTACTATCGTAGTGTGAGAATGAACTCCTTGCATACATTAAGAATTCATGTTGATAAATGAAAACTAAATATTGAGTATTCATGTTTGTTTTCTCTTTGTGATCATACTTTTTTTCGTAATATTTAACCATAATATGTTATCTGTCATCCAAAAGTATTGATTTTCTTCCTGTTTCGGTTATACTTCCCTGTTTATCTTCAGGATTTTATGGTAATAATAGTAGTAGTGTAGTACATAGGTGAATTACTAGAACAAAGTGTTTATTTAGTATGTTCAAGTTGTGGATCAATGTCTCAGGTTTCACGAGTTGAATTGTCATTGGGACCTATGACTTATTCATCGTCTTTTAAAAATAATTCATCGACTTCTGTTACTTTGTCTTCTTTTTATATAAAATCGTCAATGGTCCTGTCAGCCTAAAAGATGAGGAACATAAACTTTAGTCACTTCATGGATACCACCCATTTTCTTCCGAATAAGCAAATCACCAGTATTCAGGTTTCACAATCCAGATGGGTTGTATTTGTAGCTAAATAGACTAATTCATAGGAATATTTGTATATGTGTTACCAGTTTTATTTGTTTAAACAGCCCATGAATTCTCATTTATTTTAGGCATTTAGCGGTACAGGTTATCGGTTAGATGGAAAAAATAAACAGGATAAAACCGATGAAACAGATAATAGTCAATCATTAGGGCAATTGAAGGAAAGAGAAAGGTAAGAATGACCATTGTTTCTAACTTTATCACTGTTACACCAAAGTGTTCACAAAATAAATTGAATTATTGGTAACATGAAAGTAATTTACATGTGATTTTGATAACGAAATCTGATCTTCGACCCCAACTAAATCGAAAGCTGAAGCAAATAATCATATCTTAACAGCTAAATTGAATAACTGAGGATAAATAAATTCCCACTCTACAGGTCTAATCATGAAGTAGACATCGTTTAATCAGTGAGACTCTCTAGGTTACTCTATTTCTCGAATCCTAAGCCAAGGGAAAAGCATCCATTTGAGGTTCCTTGATTTTCACTACTAGTCCTGGCTTCAACAAATATGAAATGGTCTTCCAAAACCAATGGTTTTATTTCAACTACTGACTATCTTTTCTCAGAATCTTGTCTGATTCGAAAAATAAAAAGTAACTTTCCTTGAGAGACTTATTAGTACTATCAAAAAATACACAAAAGTTGTTGTGCATTAATATGTTTTAAGTGCTTGGAAATATGGTGAGTAAATACCACATTAAAACATGGGTAAACCAGTAGGAAGATGACTACATTTGAGACAGTAAAAATATAAGACACTTAGTATAGGGAAATCAAACCTCAAATCTTAGCATAATTAAATTTGATAAGAATACTTTTTTGTACTTCCGTACATATTCGTTTTAAGATATTTTGTTCCACCTAAAAAGAAATATGGTTACCATTAAAAGGTAAAAGCAACTTGGTCACTTGGTAAAAGTTCTTAAATTCGATTGTGAGTTGCATCTATTTTGAGAGTTGGAAATACTATCCAGCTTCTCAAATAAAATGATCGCAGCGGGACTTAAACACATGCCTTGGCGGTTAGATATCTAGTTATTTCACCACTAAACCACAACTTTTAGTTAGTTTTTCAAAAAGTACCTTTTACTTGGCGTTTAAAATATTTTTAGGTTCAAATATTATTATACACAAGTGAGAATATGGAAAACAAAATTCCATCATCTGTTTTCTAAAGATAAACTTTCAAACAGCCATGATTACGGAAAGACCTAACGTCTTGAAGTCCCCTATACTATTGAAGTTCATATTAAATCCAAAAAAATCTAAAGCAATCGATGAAAAATCAGGAACTGTGATGCTAAATATTTTTAGCGTGTTAGAAATTTTTTATTGGTAGTTCGCGATGTCAGTCTGTATTAGCACAGTATATTCTGTAATGAATTTTATCTAATAATATTTACCTTATATTCTTAGTGATTATTTGGTAGAATGATTTCATTAAATTCAGTTTAACTTAATCTAATGAATGATTAAATGTTTCAAAGTAGTATTTCTGCACTCTTGACTTTCTCCTCAGGGGTGTACCAAACTACAATTATCAACCTGGAAGTTTAACATTTTTCCGATGTTTAAAACAAATTCCTGCAGAGGTAGGTTTATTTTATCAAATATTTTTTATAATACTATGTTGTGCTGTAAGCTAATATTCCGTTGCGAGTTCAATCAATATGTATCATACCATGGCTACGTTTAATTTATCAAAGGCGACGGAAAGAATTTCGACGTTGATACTGTCCATTAACTTAAATTTTCCTCACTGGGTATGATTTATAACCTTGGATCACGAGGCAAGGAAGGTCGAAGAACACACTGAGTCGAGAATTGGAAGCAGATATGAAAGGAATGAATGGCAACTGGAAAAGATTGCCCAGGACAGAGTGCGATGGAGAATGCTTTGCCCCCAAATGCCCTGGTATGGCCGAGAGTGGGGTGGGTTCGCCCTCCCTCTTGAAATACTCTGACACGACCACGCGTATAAAGCCTCTTCCAGGGAAGCCCTACTCACTGCCTTCTCGTGGCGAGGGTGTTGTTTACGAAAATGAGAGGACGAAAAGCGAATGTCCGGCGCTTTAACCGGATCCCAAATCAATGGTGTACATGGGCTCCAGTATCCTACGGGAACAAATGGCGTATGAACCAATTTTTGGTCACCGGCTTCCATGGGACTGCATCTCCTCACGATGCTCCACTGCCTTGTGGACTAGACCTGTAGGTCGAAGGCTCGGAGTGTGGCCCCCTAAGAAAACCACCTGCTTCGGTTTGGGCACCTGGGCAGTATCACAGCCCTCACACATATCAATTGAGATTTGTGTGGCGCATATGTATTTGGTGCCTCCCTGTACGGATATCTGTGTTAAAATAAATAAATACTTTTTTGTTAACAAAACTAAGTCTTCTAAGAAGTCAGGTGTAAGTGAGATAATCTCAGAAAAAGACGACGCTCTTATCTGCTCTCAGTCCAGACATTTAGAACGATGGGCGGAACACTTTAAGGAGCAGTTCAGCTGGCCTTCAGCTACTCTACAACTAGCCACCATTCCCAAACAGCCTGAATGGAACATTGAAGTAGGCCTCCCGACTCTTATTGAAGTTCAAAAAGCCATAGTTAATTTGAAACGAGGATGAGCAGCTGGTCCAGATGTCCAGAAGTATGATCAACCCTGATGGGTTAGTATCTGATGAAATCTGCACGGATTCAGATTCGTTTGGCTTATGTCAACTTACATCACCCGTGACGAATGCGAGATATTCGTCTATCAATTAAGAGACGAGTATACTGCGCATCAGTCCGCTCTGTTCTACTTTACGTCTGCGAAACGTGACCATTAAGAGTAGAAGATACTCGTAAGTTACTAGTATTTGATCACAGATGTCTTGGAAATATTTCTCGCATCTGCTGGGATCACCGGGTAAGTAATGGTGAGGTTAGACTCAAGGTATTAGTGGATGATGGTAAATCAGTTGATGAGGTTGTAAATCTTCATCGACTGAGATGGTTGGGCCACGTGTTTCGTGTGCCTGAACACCAATTACCACTACGCGCAATGCTGACTAGTGCTGGAGACGGATGGAAGGAAGTTAGGGAAGGCCAAACGAAAATGTGGCATCAGTGCTTGAAGCCATTAACTTCTAATCTGAGACATGTTGGTAGATGCAGACTACTTGGTTGGGGGTCCACGCGACTACCGTAATGGTTGGAGACTGGGTGACTGTCTGAGAATCGATCACGATGACTTAGGTGTATACACTCCTTGTCTGCTCTTAAACGGTGAGATTAAAATTAATTTATACCTTTCCTTCTACGAACTAATTCTTTCTTTTTGTATCATATTATTTTTCCTGTACTATATCCTTGTATGCAGTCTTTCCTTTATATATTACACCATTGAGTTAACTACTTCTATGAATCCGGTGTTCGTTTTACTGATGAGGTGTGGCAACTTGGACCGATGCATATATGTGCCCGTCCTACGTTGTAGCTGACTGACTGAAGCACGTACACCTGCTTAGAGTTTCTAGATTTTGTTGACTTATAGACAACATGAAGCTTGTTTTTTTTTTCACTTTGAACCAACCGTTTTTTGCTATTGATGTTCTAACAGTATTCATCCATATTCAATACTGAAGCTCTTATTATCCAAAAAAGAACAGTCGTAAAGTGAACTTTATAGGTACTGTATAAGT